GAATCGATGAGCACTTGGACCGACGCAAGCCATGGTAGTTGGCGCGCGCGCGGTTCGGCTACGCTTGATGAGACGCTGCGCCTTCTGGACGAATTTCTGTAGAGGATGGTCCTTCAAGTTGGGAAGCCCCTTACCATTTACATTTTGGTAAATGTGATCTTGGTGCTCGTGAGCCCACGTGGTGACCGTGTCCAGAACTCTAGCGATCCGTCTCGGTTTAACTAGGTAATGGTTGGCAAAAAGTGAACTCCGATCATACTCGATGAAGAAAGCATTGGCGTGAGCGACGCGATGGACGAGGAACAAGAGCACATCGTTCAGCTGATCTTTCTCAATATCAAGCGCCTTGCAGGTCAGCTCCTCCAACGTATATTCACGGTAATTTTCCTCATCGGCCACAATATCATGGATGCTGTCCAACCGGGCTGCATTTGCGCGGTACAGCTCCTGCGCGTCTTGGTCGAAGGTGTACATTTTCTTGAGAAGATCCGCACCAACATTTCTCGGGACTCCACCTTCGGTCACGGATTGGAACTCTGTCTTCATCTGAGCGGCGGCGCCAGGGACGTGCGGGAGCAGGGGCGCAACCATTTCTGGAGGCACAAACCCCTTGACGACATAGTCAAGATCCTTTGCAAAAGCGATCCGCCATTTTCCTCTGTCCGTATAGAATTGTTGCTGTTTGTGGATGGAGCGGATATAGATGGCAAATGTCAGGATACCGTCGACGCTGTTCCGCAAGAAGTTAGCGGCCATGATAATGCACAGCAGCACACATCAGGTTGCACTTACGCAGTCATCGCCACCAGATCCCCCGGCTCCAAGTATTGATTTAAGCCCTCTCCTTCGTCGGCCGAGTTTGTAAATTCCAAAGAATCATCTGCCGCTCGTAGAGCATCGCTTCCGGCATCGCGAGCTTCACGGTTGTCATTGAGCATGTTTCCTACCCAAGGTGCCGACGCGTCCAGTGAATTCGAAGTCCCTGGGCCTCGGACAGGGTCCAAGTCGTTGGAATGGGACTGTTGCCATTTTCGCAGATAGGTCCGGATGTCCTTGTGCTCGTCAAACTCGAGCTTGAGACGGAGGTTAAGCACCTCAGTTGACGAATTTAGTAGGTCTTGATCGAGATACTAAGGAGTATAATGGTAAGCCGCAAAACTCGACAATTTAGAAAAGGGTTCATACCTTTGAGCCTGCGCTGAAGCATCTCCGTGATACAATTTGCGAATAGTCTGAGAGATTGCTCCGGCGAAGGAGAGGTGGCGCGCGCGAGGCAGCTCCACAGAGTCTCGGCGTGAGCGCGTAATTCACACCAGCCGCCCTCTGGAATACTCTCGTCTTTGGGAGTAACAAAGGCATTCTGGACCACCCATCATACATGCCCACAACCTGGAGCTCAATTGCTTGATGGAGCAAGAGGCGTGGAAGCAGCTGCGGCGAATCTCCGCGGCTGTAAAATCTACATACTGCCGGCAGTTGCCACTTACCGCTGGGGCGGTGAGTATCTAGTACCTGGCGCTTTTCCGAATCCCGAATTTCCCCCGAACTATGCAATTGTTCACTTAGCTGTGCGATCTCTTATTGTCCTTGTGGAGGATCGAAGAACATCCATAGGGGATTATTCTACAATGAGGGCAATACTGCGCTATTCTTTAGGTGATATTAGCACCTTGTCCACTAGATGATAAGTCGGAAAGTTTACCGACAACTGAAACGGTACCAAGTGCTACAAAACCTGATGCGTAAGTGATTGAGTAACGACCATTTGCACTATGCATTGGCTTGAAAACTACTCTTGGGTGTATGTATCTAGTTTCCTGATCTGACTGTTGGTGGTCTCTAGTCAGATATGGTTGACAGATCTTCTTGAAGCACTTGATGAGCACAATATATTTACTACGCTCATACTACTACTTGTACATGGATGGGCTTTCGCCTAGTCGATGAACTCTAGCTCGACGTCAGTGAAATCTCCAGTCTACCCTGAGCTTCAAGTCTTCGTTGATGATGCAAGCTATCGTGGCTCCACCCGCAACTACAGAAACATGCTCCATGCCAAAGAACGCAACACAGCAGTGAGAGAAGTCGGGCTCTGAGAAGATAACGAATTGGCATGAAGCGAGTATAAGCGTACACAATGTTGAGTTCTGGCCGAGGACGCTCACTGATATAAAATTGATGAGAATTGGATATCCTCATCCCACCAGAAAATAGTATAAACCCCTCGTGTACCAATGCAAACACACCTAGGGGGCAGATACTATCCAATTACAAGCCTTCATGATGTTTGCAGAACGGAGTCTACTGATTTTGCCAAACCTGGTTGGAATAGTTGTTGCCAATCCCTGAAACCATTGAAGGGAATGCGGGATTCTCGAAGCACTACTAGGGTGACGAAGCAGCCATTGTGTGGACGGCTGAGAGTTGTCCTGCTAGACATCAAGACCTTATCATAGTTGCTACTGCTATTACATCGACTGTCGGTCCTACCATGTTGCGGCCTTCTGCATTAGTCGTTGGACACGCTAGCTCTGCGAAGCCCAACAACTTGTCTATTCGACGGCAAGCAACTTGCGCACATCGAAGCATTGCCCAACGATACAACATTCTCCTAGAATGAAGCCTCTCCCCAACCAAACCGTTGGCGCAGGACAATATGAAGATCCACTATCACCATTGGCACGTCACCAAAGCAGTGAGTTGTGCTTTCGGTATGATTGGATCGTATCTTTCCGATGCTCATAGTGACCAGTAACATAAACAAGGCGAGAGGCGCAGTCAATAGTGGTCTGACTACAACCGCCCAACCAGCTAATGCAGGGATGGCGCAGGATCAGTCCAGCTTCTAAGGAGCTTGCAACATGACCACTCTGGGCTACGTCATGCTCGAGCTCTACTTAGACGAATTCACCACACAATATATCAAGCTCAATCAGCATCAATAACCCATCTAATGAGGCACTCATGTCAGCGACTTCATCAGCAAGGGTATACTACTCCAAGCTACTAGCTCTGTACACGAACGTGTCTACCTGCATGCAGGCCTACCAAAAACACCCACGCACGATAAGAATCAAAACCAAAAAGACATTTTCAAATGCCGACAATATTAGCATCAAGAGCACCTCCCCAGAAACGGGGCAAGTAGCAGCAGATCCCACTACAGGGCCATCTCGAGGAATATTGGCGCTCACTCTCAGCCAATACCCACAACCCCAACATCCCGCCTACAGTCCTTCCACTGCAGGTATGGGACATACCCTGAGTCAATGCGCTTCTCCACGAAACGATCCCAATCAATTTACACGCATATCCTTAATATAGAAATTACCACAAATGACACTCCCGAGAAGCTGGACGGCGACAGCACGATCTGCATTGCAGGCGCCTCCTATCCCACTTTCTCCAAGTACGGCGTACTGACCCTCTGATAGTGATGGTAATAGACAGAATGAGGCTGAGCAAGTCCCTCTCCCTACTGCAATCAAACCCCAAAAATACCCTCCGCGCCAATCATCCACACGCCAGTCGTCTCAGGTCCAATTAAGCTCTCGTGGGTCGTTGGCCAGGAACGTTCCCGCTATGGCATCTCCAAGCGCCGGTGTGGAGTAGACCCATCCCGGTGCAGCCCTAGCTCTTTACCGCGCACTTACCTGAGCTCATCCTCTTGATAGCTAGCTATGTATGAAGTAAGCGCTCGCTTCACCTTCTCCAAACAAAGCTCTCCTTAAACAGGACTGAACAGACTCTACCGTCCCGTCGGCGCTTCATCACGCAATGAGAGCTCAGCAACCAAGATTCGATGAATCCTCATCGGTCGGATCTAGAACACGGCCGGCACGAGTGTAGCTAAATTTGTCTGGGTCTGGAACTCGAGGTTCTGTGCCGTGTATTCTCGCCTAGCTTCATGGTTTGAATAGGTGCTTGGAAAGAGAGATAAATAAAGAGGGTGGTTCTCGTCTTGGATTTGCTTTGTCTACACTCAAGTCAAACAGCGAGAACTCACGGTCTCTCTCAGTCTCCTTTGCCATTGTCTTATACATTCCTTTAATTCGGGATATTTGTGCTACTACACTCCTTTGTATCATTGTTTGATCTCAATTGTTGTGTTTGCATACGTATTAATCACGGCCATTTGGCTAGCACACACACTCTCTTCTCTTACAACCCATCTCACTCGTGAAGTGCGTCATCGAGCTATCCATTCTATAATACAAACATCTATTCGCCCTAGCAGCTACAACTGCCTTCAGGAAGGAAATAAGAAGAAAATGGCACCCCACGGACTCCTCGGCGCAACCTTCATCTGCGCGCGCATCATCCAGCTCTGCTCACTCATCGCCATAATCGGACTAACAGCGAACTTCATCGCCGAGATTGTCTCCAACGGCGCCACGCCCCCAGCCATCTTCATCGGGACAATCACAGTGGTGCGTCCTTTCCCCCAACTTTCTACCTACCCAACATCCACCCCTCTAACCACCCTTGAATGGAAACCAGACCAGCATCGCAGTGATATACAGCTTCATCACAACGATCCTCTTCCTCGACAACATCCTACACTTCCTAATCTCCGCCATCCTCGACACACTCCTCCTTATCGCCGTGATCGTGGTATCAGTCATCATCGGGAAGCCACTCTCCTACTTGCAATGCAACAAGCTCAGCAGCGACGGGTCAAGCGGATCATCGGCGTATACGTTTGCCACGCATCTGAGCAGTTATTTGGAGGATCTGAGTGGCGGGACGGTGAACTATACGGCGTGGATTGGAGCGAGTAAGTCGGTGTGTTTGGAGGCGAAGTCCATTTGGGGGTTGTGTATCGCTATGTGGTGAGTAACCTGATAAAGTTGAGCGGATGATGCTAACGATGGTGGCCTACACAGTATCATGTTCTTCTTCTCAGGCGTTTGCGGACTCGTGCTCTGGAGACAGAAGAAGGCAGCGGGCGTGGAGAAGTTGGACGGTTAGACGATGGACGATGGTGACGATGGCGCTGATAATGCTAATATTGATGTTGATGTTGATGTTGACGGTGGTGACAACCCCCCATCCCCCTAATCTATCCCCTTGCATTGCATTCTGACCCTTCATTAATCTCTTTCCTGCTTTTCTTTCCCACTTCAATCATATACGTCCAAGCAAAACCCACACCCTAATACTCCAGACTTCCCACCCCCCACCAGCCAGCGCATGTACCTATACCTATACAAATAATAATCAGCCAACCAACCCCAATTTCAATGTAACCCCAGCCCCCCAATCACCCTCCCTCCATAAGTTACACACACACACACATACATACCATATAAAAAGTAGATCACCCCGAACTAACCGGCGGAATCACCGCAACCTCATCCCCAGGCTTAATAACCACCACCTCCCCATCAGCCTCATCAGCCTCAACATCCACATACTCATCCCCAAGACTCACCCCACAACTACTCAACACCTTCTCTTTGATCCCCGGGTACATGGACTCAAGGGTATCGAAGAGTCTCGGCAGCGGTAAGGGGGCGGGGAGACGTTCGGTTTGTTTGCCTGTGTAGGTGGATGCGGAGGCGAAATAGTGAATTTGGAATGTTGTAGTCTCTTTCGAGGACATATTTTGGGTTTGGGATTTAGAAAATTAAGAATATTAGGGAGTTTGATGAAAACTGTTTGTTTGTTGGTTGGTCTTATTGAGGGGTGGGATTGAGGAGGGGAGAAAGATAGGGAGAAAACATAAGGCGGGCGTGCGGGGTCTGCTGATAAGGATGTGGTTGATAAGAGTGGTGGGTGGTGCCGCGCCGGCGGGATTGACCAGTTGGTAGGTATGGAGTAAAGAATGGTCTTATCCAACTAAGCAGTAGTACTATGCGGAGATCAAGAGATTACTGATGTTAACATCATCTGAAGTGTTAAGTCATATCTATGAGATCGTTCAATTCAGTCATTATTTACCCTCGACTAATTCCTTGAACGCGGTCACCAGATCCTGCCGGAGATCTTCCCAGTTCTCCAACCCGACACTGATGCGCAGCAACCGGCGATCCACAGTCGCGTCCGACATTGTCCGCCATTCGATCAACGTTTCCACTCCTCCAAGACTGGTGGCATGCTGGAAGAATGCCAGCTTGCTCGGGAGCTTCCGGGCAAAATCCTCCGTCTTCATGGTGATCGAGAAGACCGGTCCGAACCCATTGGGCATCTGCTTCAACAGCCAAGACTCGTCCTCCTTCTGCAAGCTGGCGTGGAGCACCTGTTCGAGGGCACGCTGAACCACAGCTTCGTCGCTATCCGGAGCGGGGCTGGGCGCACGCAGTGCATCGTTCAGCCAGGATACAAGGCTGTTTGCGTTCTGGCTCTGGCGCTGCACTCGGACTTCCAGAGTCCGCAAGCTGCGAACGCCTAACCAGCTCTCCATATTTCCCATCACACTGCCCAAGAAGATCCGGTCCTCAAGCAGTTGTTTCGCCCAATCCTCACGTTGTGTAGCAAGAACTCCGCAAAGAACATCGCTGTGTCCGCCAAAATACTTCGACCCCGAGTGCAACACCAAATCGGCACCCCATTCGAAAGGGTCTTGGAGGAAGGGCGGGGCGAATGTGCCATCAACAATGAGGTACGCGCCACGAGAATGAGCCTTTTGAGCATACGCTTCGATATTGAAGGCGGTTCCCTCGGGATTGACCGGAGTTTCCAGATGAATCACGTCGCCAGCCTCCAATTGCTCGGCAGGACAATCCAGGTCTAGCTTCTGAAGTCCAGTGAGGCGACTGAACAGAGAAATCACGCCATGGCATCCGTGATAACCGTTCCCAATGGCAATCCGGCGGGGTTTGAGCAGGACTAGCGCCGCGTGCAAAGCTGACAACCCCGAGGAGTAGCTAATGGCCTTTCCATTGAGGAGTGAAGACAAGATAGCTTCAAACCGAGTATAATTAGGGGCGGTCAACCGAGAATAGACGTGAGCTGTGTTGTCCTTCTGATCCTAGATACGGAAGCAAAGTTAGCATTCAGCTCGGAGTGCATTCGGGGAGTAAGACACCTACTCCACTGCGGTCGGCCCAGGGCACTAAGTCATCGGGGTTGTCGGAGTAGCGGAAAGTAGTGGCCACGTGAATTGGCGGAGCCACATCCGTGACGACATTCAGGGCATCGTCGACATGAAGAGCGCGCGTGGAGGCCCCCATTTCTCGATTAGCGGGAGCCATGGTGATGATGAGAAAAGATGAGAAGAAGAAACGTCAGGCCGCGCGGACACAGTCGGGAATGCCGGCCATTCGCCATTCGGAGATTTGCTGTCGTGACTCAGGAAGAGTGGGGAAGGGGAGCCGAAGAGGGGGAGAGGCTGCTCCGCATCGGATAACCGGCACGTGACGCGTAGGCCGACTGGTGGGCAAGGTGATGATGGATGAATGGATGAGTGCACAAGTAGGAAACGGATACTGCAAAACCAGTGACAGTCGGACTCAGATTAAGCCTAACGACGCAGAGAGCTCATCCTCGACGGCTCACGGACTGATCCGGGCACAGACGCATGGAAATTCGTCCGATCTATAGGATATCAGTATCAACACCAGACATGCGCAATAGCAAGGGGTCACTCGGCATACCTGCTTCAGAGTCAAAAGCAATTGAAATGTCGTCGTGCTCCATTGGGTAATCCGGAGAATCCAGAGATACAAAGTCCGATGCCGGGTCATCTTCAGTCTTCGGCAGAGCAAATTTGGCATCCACAATCCGAACCCCAAACTTGCCAGCTTTCCCGAAGCTTTCCAGGGTGTCGGTGCCTTTGAGAACGAAGTTCATGCACTTTCCATGATGGAAGTCACTGAAGAAGACTACCAGTTGCACAATTCTGTCGCGCTTAATCACTTGGATTCGAGCTAGGCTGGATTCCCACTTCTTAGTGATCGGGACAACCATCCGGCGTCGTGAGATGGCGAACGAGGTAGCCACACTACATTCCCAGTATTAGTTATGGTCCCTTTCAACAAATCTGGCTTATGCATACCTGTCAAAAAGCACCTGGTAGCCCGTCACAGCTCGTTCGAACATATGAAGATCTGAGAGGCATATCAGTAAGTCGTTTCAGGCCGATATAAAGAGCATTGTATATTACCTTGTACAGATGCAAAGTCGAATCGTCGGATCATTGGTTTAGCCGTGGCGATTTTCAAGAAATCTGTTATCTTATCTGGCATCTCTGGTAGTACTAGATTCTCAGCAACGGACACAGTCCAGTCCTTCTGCCCAGGTCGGTACAGGCTAAGCCCCGTCCGATTGTTGACATCAAGTCCCAGTTTCAGCTCACCGGGCCCTAGGATATTGTTAGCGAAGTTCTCAATAATGATCTGGAAAGCATACCGAGATTGATCCGATCCGTGACAGACCCCCATTCGGTTGCGATGAAAGCACGTAGATTCTCGGATAGCACCGTCGGGCCGTACCCATGCTCAACATGTGTGTGCTCACGGTCAATGATCGAGACTGTACCGGCAGGAAATTGAAGATGATCCTTTGCTGGCTGCCCTGTGTTACGATCGGCAGGCTGTTGGACGGTGTATGCACGGATTGGGATCTCAGGTGACTTAACCTCGTTTCCCTTAGGCTGAATACCCAGAAGCAAGGAATGCATGTTTGTGCGATCCTCCGATTCATAGAACGTCATCACCATAGACCGGGTCCTTCCTTCCTCCTTGACCTTGAGTAGAAGGGCTGGTGCTCCATCCTCACCTCGGAGCAGACCGAAAACAACTGGTGCGCCGGACCCAATGGTATGACGCACACTGCTAAGAGTCTTGACCTTTGGGCTTGTGAGTACCGCAAGACGAAATCCTTGATGCACAATTCTACTGCCAGTGCCCTCAGTCAGAGTGATGGTCTTTTCGAAGAGTCGAAGCCGACACCGCTCAATGGGATCGGCTGGGAAGGCTTTTGGCGTTCCAGGGTCCATATACTGGAATGACTTGAGAGTGTTCTCGAAAATTACTGTTTCACCCGACTCAGCCTGCAGGCTTGCTTCGGTCTTGCGGGTGTACTGGACAATGTTCCAGATATTCTTGAAGTCATCCTCCTGGAACGCGACCTCCAACACAAATCCACGCGGCAGCTTCACCCTTATCGAATGTGACCGGACTAGCCAGTCCACGCTGTCCCATGTAGGGCCCTTTTTCTTATCCGACTGGATCATAACATTGACAAGTTCATTCTGGCTGGTTATCGCGGCGAAGACATACCAGTCAGCACGATCACGTATTATGGACAATGCGCATGGCATAGACAGTTTCGGCATGTCATCTTCATTGGAGCTGACGAGAACATTCACAAACATGGTCCCGTAGCTAAAATAGCGACTAGTATCACTGAGTGGCATTGTTTGCACAAAGGAAGGCCCCTTTCCTGCCGTGTCCGCCAGTAGCGAGCTTGTTACGGTACCCGAGAGGACCGCAGCCACGTCCAGAGCGAAAGATGGATACCGCATCCAAACACTAGTGTCAACTGGTATGGCGGAATCACCCTGGGATGCAATAGCCACAAGGATGTTGTTTCGCTTGATGGACATGGCTAATGAGCGAGAATGGTTCATAATCGCCTGGTGTAGGGTAAGGAGATCGGCCAATTGTGCGTTCCCGGTCGTGTTGGCTACCGCAATCACAGCATCAATACTCCTTGCGCCATAGCGGGTCACCTCATCATGTTGTGGGACGACATATTCATTGATCCATAAGGCCTTAGCAAGATCCACGATGGCTTGCTTCGCGCTTTCTGTAGAGCTGAGAAGGGGTGATCGTGTGCCAGAGCTGGAGGGGCGTGACCGTGCATAAACTTCAAGCCGTTTCTTTCCCCGCAGAAACCACCACACTTCAGCTCTCACCCATTCGGACAGAGAGGTGTCCTGTATGGGTCTGGCTTCCTCCGCAGAGGCTTGGATCAAGCCTTTAAACTGCGCCATGTACGCTTTCAGATCAGTGAAAGCCGTGTCACCCAGTTGGTTAGCAACAGACCGCAATGTAAACTTGGGAGCCTGAGGATTCCGGGAGGTATCGCGGTTATCCCTGCTGGCTGGAGGAGAGGGGGCGTCAGGTTGTTCCGCCATCTTGGGTATGATCTGCCGCTTTGGAGGAGAAAGGCTTTGGGTACTTCCGCCAGGAGAGAGGATCGAAGGGAGGACCGGGGTTTCAGGGCTGCGATCAACTGGACTACGATCGATGTGAGGAGGGACTTGGGGTTCTCGAAACGGGTTCTCTGGCGGGCTGGGCTCTGTCTCCGAAAGGGGAGGCGTCTCATAGGTTGAACTAGGGCTGTCAGGTACGGCCTCCGCCGGACTTTGTACCCCTGCTTCATCTGCAGGGGAGGGTGGATCTGGCATTCGGTGCTGCAAAGCACGTCCCTCCTCAGCTTGCATCTTGTCTCGTATCCGTTGGGCAAACGAATGGGACTCAGGTGAAGCACGGAATGATAAGCGGGAACCTCTTTCTCCCAGGTTCAATGTCATCAGGAAATCAGCGTCCTGAGGGTTCTGTAGCAACAGCGGCTTCCAATCCTCTATACGTGTCCCCTTCTGCGCATCTCTCTGCTGCGGCGCCGGGGCGCCCAAGTCACCAAGCGAAGTGTCCAGGCGAAGTTGAGGAAGCTTTGGCTGGCGGTCACCCAAGTCATCCACCATACTGGGACTGTAGCTATTCTGGTTATTACGACATAAGGAGATCTCAATTGTCG